TTCCACCCCTGAGAGCAGGCAATATACCCAATCGAAAATTTACTGGTTGGACATACACTAGACGCTCCACTATTGCACCAGCAGCAGTATCTTGTTAGGTATGTTGCTAGTGCAACATGCGGGGTCAGTCGTTGAGCAGAATTATTATAGGGGACGATTCTCCCCCAGTCATCTGCCTATCACCTTATGGCACCATGAAAGCCAGCCATCCAGTGGAAGGGAGTTTGCAGCTTAGTCCAAGCTTGATTTCTCCCTCTTCTGGGCTTACATCAGACAGTGTCTTCAGCAATGGGGTTTTTCTGTCCACTTCAGGTGTACACGCAACATTGTTGGCAATGGCCTTTATTGTTTGGGGGACCTCATACTGGGGAAACCCACCCCTGGTGCCTGGATTTTCATTTAACAACAGTATTGCTTCTTGAAGAGCTTTCATAATGTTCCTTCTGGGCTTACGGCCTTTTTTTTTTTTTTTTTTTTTTAAACTGGGCTTATGGCTTTTTTATGTTTGTTTTTAAACAGTGTATCTAGAAACATTTTTTTCCCATTATTCCCATACTTCTTTGTATATACAGCCTTTCTCCCCTTCCCCTTTACCCCCCCCTTTTTTTTAACATATTTCTCCCTCAGTAACACCTTTCTCCTACTGTTCTTCTCTCTGGGGTGCCTTCTTTCATCTTTCTTTACTGCTGAATAGAACTCCATTGTGTAGATCTACCACATTTTCGTTAACCACTTGTCATTTGAGGGGCACTTACTAGCTATTGTGGAAAGAGCAGCAACAAACATGGTTGTACAAGTGTCTCTGCAATAAGATGAGATCTTTGGGTATATGCCAAGGACTAGTATAACCAGGTCATATACTACGTTCATTTTTAGTTTTTTAAGAGTTCTCCACACTGCTTTCCATAGGGATTGTACAAGTTTGCAATCCCACCAGCAATGAATGAGTGTTCCCCTTTCTCCACATCCTTGTCAGCATTTGGTATCATTTGTTCTCTTGAACCTAGCCAGGCTGACTGGGGTAAGGTGAAATCTTAAGGTGGTTTTGCTTTTCATTTCTGTAATTACTAACGATGCTGAACAATTTTGAAGATGTTTCTTAGTCATCTTTATTTTTTATTTCTTCCTTTGAGAAGGTTGGCCCATCCTTTAATTGGGTCATTTGTTTTCTTGGTTCTTTGTTTTTTTCTGGATTTAAACCTCTGTCAGTTGTGTCACTAGTGAAAGTTTTTTCCCCAGAGTCTAGGTTTTCTCCTCACTTTCTTCATTGGTTCTTTTGCTGTACAGAACCTTTTTAGCTTAATGAAGTCCCACTTGTTCATTGCTGACCTTAACTTCTGAGAAACTGCAGTCCCATTTAGAGATACCTTTCCTATACCTTTATCTCGTGGGTTACTGCCAATGTTTTCTGCTAATAGTTTCAGGGTTTTGAATTTCACATTGAGGTCTTTGATCCATTGGAGTTGACTTTTGTGCAAGGTGAAAGATAAGGATCTAGTTTCATTGTTCTGCAGGTGGAGATCCAGTTTTGTCAGCACCATTTGTTGAAAATACTGTCTTTCCTCCATTGTGTGTTCTTGGTACCTTTGTCAATGTCAGGTGGCTGAAATTGTGTGTACTTAGTTTTGGGTCTTCAGTGATGTTCCATTGATCTATGTGTCTATTTTTGTGTTACTACCATGCTGTTTTTATGACTATAGTTCTGTAGTATACTTTGAGATCTCATTTAGTGATCCCCCCACTGTTGCTCTTTGTACTCAGGGTTGCTTTGGCTATCTGGGGTCTTTTGTACTTTCATATGAAATTAAGGATTTTTTCTTTTTTTTCTAATTCTGTGAAGTATGACATGGGAATTTTGTTTGGGATTGCATTGAATATATATATTGCTTTTGGTAGGATGGTCGTTTTCAAAATATTAATTCTTCCAATCCATGAGTATGGGAGGTCCTTCCATCTTCTGGTGTCTTCATCAATTTCTTTAAAGATTTT